TTGCTTTCGCACAAGTTGTGTGCAATAAAGGACTGTACCACTCGGCTGGACCACACTTTTAACTTTCAACACGAGCCCCTAGTTTTGTTCCGTTTGACGAAAGATGGCAGGTAATCGCCTAGCAACCAGTGAGCCGATTGACGAAATTAAGTCGTCATTATCTTCTGTTTGAGGATGTTTCCGAATCAAATGTCGAATAGGAAGAAGTTTCGAAGCCTATTCTGACTAAATAGAAGTAGTTATAATCACCATGGCTCTAAACTATTTATTAAAAGGAATATTTTTCGAATTAAGTATTGTTTTTCGTGCCTGCCAGTAAATCAGTAATATGAGAGGTATCCACCCAATTTCGTGTAAGGTGATGAAGGACTGGTAGTAGAATTTTCCCACAATTATATGAGTAGAGCTGACGTTTCCATTGAATTTCACATAGCCTTGCTTTCCCAAAAGTTGTTCTCATCCAGACACCAGTGGACTGCAGTTTCGACCTCGCATCGGTCTTATCAACACCCTCAGCGGGACTCGAACCACGACAGGGTGTTGATAAGACCGATGCGAGGTCGAAACTGCAGTCGACTGGTGCCTGGATGAGAACAGCTTTTGGGAAAACAAGGCTATGTGAAATTCAATTGAAGCGTCAGCTCAACTCATATGATTGTGGGAAAATTCTTCTTCCACCAGTCCTTCATCACCTTAAACGAAATCGGGTGAATACATCTCATAATAGGAATATACATTTCGAAGCCTACTCAAATTGAATATAAGTAGTTGTAGTCGCCCTAGGTCGCAGAGGGTATTGCAATGACATGATTAGGGTTCACATTTCATCGAGTACTGTCTACCCTGGACGAGAATGTCTTTTGTACAGAAAGGCTGAGAGTTCAACTACTCTAATTGTGAGCAAATTCATCTCTTTATGTGACCTTGGTTGACTAGAAGTCTTATTCGAGATTTGATGATAGTCTCGGTTTTGAATCCCGTTGGAACGGTGGACAGGTTCAGATTCGGCCGAAGCCCCAGTCCACGAAGGGTGAGAAAGCCGTTTTGGGGGCAAAAATTGCTCGTTCTCAACTCATCTCATGACATGACTTGAAGTTGTAGATACAAGTGCCCTCCTATCCGGAAGGGAATTTGTGCTTCCTCCGTAATTTTATTAAATCAAAAATGCTATCCCCAAAACGACTATCAAAGCATTTAGTTAAATTAAATTAAATACATTTAATCTTAAAAATACCTTCATTACATCATTCTAACAGTCTTCCGATTAATTAGTGATTATTTATTTTACCTTTCTCGGTTGTATAGTTCGACAATAAGCAGGTACCACTCTTGCATCAAATTCAAGCAAAAATCTTGTTCACTAACAATCGTTATAATTGTGCTTTATGCTATTGGCATTTTAACTCCAAATGTTTAAAATGTGATAAATGTTTAAATGTGTCCAAATGTTTAAAATGTGATAAACTAAAATAAATTCTAGCAACTCTAGAACAAACAGTTTTGACGATTTCCTAAAGCTTCTAATTTGACGCCAGCCGCTCAGGCAGGCTTCCCTTGGCTCCCCGAAGGCTGCAATGCTGACTCCAAGACAGCCATGCCATCAGAGTGCCTTGTCGACTCGCTTAGCAACGCAGCGGAGGAGGCTGCGGAAACCGGTGCCTCAGCTGGACTCGACAACTCGGCCACATTGCCTGACCCGCGAGGAGTAAACTGGAGCGGACCTAGTGCAGGGCTGGGGGCGAAATCTGACCTGACCGAGAGGTTGCGTCCTTTTTTTCGGCAAATCCTTGCAGTAAAGGCACAAAATGCAGAAAAACTGGGTTTCCAAGACTGCCCCAAGAGATTAAGGTTGGAGTAGCTTTCATTTCGTTTGAAGAGGCGAGTGGAAGCCATTCGAAAGTTGTCTCCACCGGAAATGGTAGAAGGGTTGCGACGGACATCGTGACAACTGGACAGCTTGCTTGACGACAATGTACTAAAACATGAAGACAAGAATGGTGACAAGCGTAAAACTGACCTCTTACTGTAGCCCAATTTGGTCCACTTGGCCATTTCATGTTTCGGTTGGGTACCCTATGCTTTGCGGAGTGTTTGCTCAAAAGTGAAGTGAAGTGAAGTGGATTGAGATGAAGCGGGAAGTGGGCGCAAGTGAAGCCGAACAGCTGCATCCTTCCCCAAAACACGTATGATTTCGATGCTGCTCTGTTACCGCATGTGATTGCATCCCTTTGCGGGCGTGTTGTGTGAATGCATTGCACTTAAAATGAGTGTGGGTTTGAGCGTGAAGACGAGATTCGAGCCCAATCAAGCCTCCTCCTCTTGCTCTCTCTCTCTCTCTCTCTCTCACTAATCCTATCCAACAGCCAAAAA